TGTTGTTGTACTGTAATTAAAGGGTGCCGTACTGCGTAGAGTAGCAGAGGAGAAGGAGGAGGCATGTTGTTGTACTGTAGTTAAAGGGTGCCGTACTGCGTAGAGCAGCAGAGGAGAAGGAGGAGGCATGTTGTTGTACTGTAATTAAAGGGTGCCGTACTGCGTAGGGTAGCAGAGGAGAAGGAGGAGGCATGTTGTTGTACTGTAGTTAAAGGGTGCCGTACTGCGTGGGGCAGCAGAGGAGAAGGAGGAGGCATGTTGTTGTACTGTAATTAAAGGGGTGCCGTACTGCGTAGGGTAGCAGAGGAGAAGGAGGAGGCATGTTGTTGTATAACTGTAGTTAAAGGTTGCCGTACTGCGTAGAGCAGCAGAGGAGAAGGAGGAGGCATGTTGTTGTACTTTAGTTAAAGGGTGCCGTACTGCGTAGGGTAGCAGAGGAGAAGGAGGAGGCATGTTGTTGTACTGTAGTTAAAAGGGTGCCGTACTGCGTAGGGCTTCTGTTATACAAGTTGAACGTATCCGCTCTGGACACTGAACCTAGTCCTGTCCTATAACTCTATTAGTAGAGGCAATGTCTGGGCAGCACCAGTTACCGTGTAGTTAGAGGACCAGTAGGGTACAGCTGGGTGTATTTAGGTGGTTACCTAGAAGCATGTGGTACAATGTCTGCTGATGTGAAGAGGAAACTACAGGGATTCGTGGTCTTCACCCATTTCACTGAGATCTTTATATGGGGTCTCTTAATTATTTCTAACTTGTACCAAGTATGCACATACATTACATACATTACATACTTGAGTACACGTTGAGACTCACAGCCTGTAACTCATGTACTCTGTACAGTACACAGTAGCATAAATAGTAAGCTACATCATAGTACAAAGTAAGGTATATGATTGAGGTATAATCACTACAGCCCTTTTGTTTGTCGGGAAGGTAAAGCTGGCTCCCTGCCAAACTTCTCTTTAAAGAGCTGAAGAGGGTTCTGGAAACTTCTCTCAAAAGAGCTGAAGAGGGTTCTGGAAACTTCTCTCAAAAGAACTGAAGAGGGTTCTGGAAACTTCTCTCAAAAGAACTGAAGAGGGTCCTGAAAACTTCTCTCAAAAGAACTGAAGAGGGTTCTGGAAACTTCTCTCAAAAGAGCTGAAGAGGGTTCTGGAAACTTCTCTCAAAAGAGCTGAAGAGGGTTCTGGAAACTTCTCTCAAAAGAACTGAAGAGGGTTCTGGAAACTTCTCTCAAAAGAACTGAAGAGGGTCCTGAAAACTTCTCTCAAAAGAGCTGAAGAGGGTTCTGGAAACTTCTCTCAAAAGAGCTGAAGAGGGTTCTGGAAACTTCTCTCAAAAGAACTGAAGAGGGCTCTGGAAACTTCTCTCAAAAGAACTGAAGAGGGTTCTGGAAACTTCTCTAAAAGAGCTGAAGAGGGTTCTGGAAACTTCTCTCAAAAGAACTGAAGAGGGTTCTGGAAACTTCTCTCAAAAGAACTGAAGAGGGTTCTGGAAACTTCTCTCAAAAGAACTGAAGAGGGTCCTGGAAAACTTCTCTCAAAAGAACTGAAGAGGGTTCTGGAAACTTCTCTCAAAAGAGCTGAAGAGGGTTCTGAAACTTCTCTCAAAAGAGCTGAAGAGGGTCTGGAAACTTCTCTCAAAAGAGCTGAAGAGGGTTCTGGAAACTTCTCTCAAAAGAGCTGAAGAGGGTTCTGGAAACTTCTCTCAAAAGAGCTGAAGAGGGTTCTGGAAACTTCTCTCAAAAGAACTGAAGAGGGTTCTGGAAACTTCTCTCAAAAGAACTGAAGAGGGTTCTGGAAACTTCTATCAAAAGAACTGAAGAGGGCTCTGGAAACTTCTATCAAAAGAACTGAAGAGGGTTCTGGAAACTTCTATCAAAAGAACTGAAGAGGGTTCTGGAAACTTCTATCAAAAGAACTGAAGAGGGTTCTGGAAACTTCTATCAAAAGAACTGAAGAGGGCTTCTGGAAACTTCTATCAAAAGAACTGAAGAGGGCTCTGGAAACTTCTATCAAAAGAACTGAAGAGGGCTCTGGAAACTTCTATCAAAAGAACTGAAGAGGGCTCTGGAAACTTCTATCAAAAGAACTGAAGAGGGTTCTGGAAACTTCTATCAAAAGAACTGAAGAGGGTTCTGGAAACTTCTATCAAAAGAACTGAAGAGGGCTCTGGAAACTTCTATCAAAAGAACTGAAGAGGGCTCTGGAAACTTCTATCAAAAGAACTGAAGAGGGCTCTGGAAACTTCTATCAAAGAACTGAAGAGGGCTCTGGAAACTTCTATCAAAAGAACTGAAGAGGGTCTGAAACTTCTCTCAAAAGAGCTGAAGAGGGTTCTGAAAACTTCTCTCAAAAGAACTGAAGAGGGTTCTGGAAACTTCTCTCAAAAGAACTGAAGAGGGTTCTGGAAACTTCTCTCAAAAGAACTGAAGAGGGTTCTGGAAACTTCTCTCAAAAGAGCTGAAGAGGGTTCTGGAAACTTCTCTCAAAAGAACTGAAGAGGGTTCTGGAAACTTCTCTCAAAAGAACTGAAGAGGGTTCTGGAAACTTCTCTCAAAAGAACTGAAGAGGGTCTGGAAACTTCTCTCAAAAGAACTGAAGAGGGTTCTGGAAACTTCTCTCAAAAGAACTGAAGAGGGTTCTGGAAACTTCTCTCAAAAGAACTGAAGAGGGTCTGAAACTTCTCTCAAAAGAACTGAAGAGGGTTCTGGAAACTTCTCTCAAAAGAACTGAAGAGGGTTCTGGAAACTTCTCTCAAAAGAACTGAAGAGGGTTCTGGAAACTTCTCTCAAAAGAACTGAAGAGGGTTCTGGAAACTTCTCTCAAAAGAACTGAAGAGGGTTCTGGAAACTTCTCTCAAAAGAACTGAAGAGGGTTCTGGAAACTTCTATCAAAAGAACTGAAGAGGGTTCTGGAAACTTCTCTCAAAAGAGCTGAAGAGGGTTCTGGAAACTTCTCTCAAAAGAACTGAAGAGGGTTCTGGAAACTTCTCTCAAAAGAACTGAAGAGGGCTCTGGAAACTTCTCTCAAAAGAACTGAAGAGGGCTCTGGAAACTTCTATCAAAAGAACTGAAGAGGGTTCTGGAAACTTCTCTCAAAAGAACTGAAGAGGGCTCTGGAAACTTCTATCAAAAGAACTGAAGAGGGTTCTGGAAACTTCTATCAAAAGAACTGAAGAGGGTTCTGGAAACTTCTATCAAAAGAACTGAAGAGGGCTCTGGAAACTTCTATCAAAAGAACTGAAGAGGGCTCTGGAAACTTCTATCAAAAGAACTGAAGAGGGCTCTGGAAACTTCTATCAAAAGAACTGAAGAGGGCTCTGGAAACTTCTATCAAAAGAACTGAAGAGGGCTCTGGAAACTTCTATCAAAAGAACTGAAGAGGGTTCTGGAAACTTCTATCAAAAGAACTGAAGAGGGCTCTGGAAACTTCTATCAAAAGAACTGAAGAGGGCTCTGGAAACTTCTATCAAAAGAACTGAAGAGGGCTCTGGAAACTTCTATCAAAAGAACTGAAGAGGGCTCTGGAAACTTCTATCAAAAGAACTGAAGAGGGCTCTGGAAACTTCTATCAAAAGAACTGAAGAGGGCTCTGGAAACTTCTATCAAAAGAACTGAAGAGGGCTCTGGAAACTTCTATCAAAAGAACTGAAGAGGGCTCTGGAAACTTCTATCAAAAGAACTGAAGAGGGCTCTGGAAACTTCTATCAAAAGAACTGAAGAGGGCTCTGGAAACTTCTATCAAAAGAACTGAAGAGGGTTCTGGAAACTTCTATCAAAAGAACTGAAGAGGGCTCTGGAAACTTCTATCAAAAGAACTGAAGAGGGTTCTGGAAACTTCTATCAAAAGAACTGAAGAGGGCTCTGGAAACTTCTATCAAAAGAACTGAAGAGGGCTCTGGAAACTTCTATCAAAAGAGCTGAAGAGGGTTCTGGAAACTTCTCTCAAAAGAGCTGAAGAGGGTTCTGGAAACTTCTCTCAAAAGAACTGAAGAGGGTTCTGGAAACTTCTCTCAAAAGAACTGAAGAGGGTTCTGGAAACTTCTCTCAAAAGAACTGAAGAGGGTTCTGTAATTGGTAATTGTTAATACTTTAATACCTTTAATTGGTACCCCCCCCCCCCCCCCTAATACCCAGCTCTAATGAAGGTAATTAATTAATTAGCTCTAATGACACACCATCACTACCCTTAATACCCAGCTCTAATGAAGGTAATTAATTAATTAGCTCTAATGACACACCATCACTACCCTTAATACCCAGCTCTAATGAAGGTAATTAATTAATTAGCTCTAATGACACACCATCACTACCCTTAATACCCAGCTCTAATGAAGGTAATTAATTAATTAGCTCTAATGACACACCATCACTACACACCGGATCAACCCTTTATCTCCCTGTATTTATAATACGTAGTTTCAACAGCAGACTCTGTTGACAATAACACTGAGGTCAGGTTATCTAAGGGGAAAAGTTCAGTTTCATCTGAATAAAGTCACAAACAATAAGCTCACCAGTTACTTTTCACACCTGGGTAAATACTTCTATACTGAATTGTTTGTTATCTAGAGGGGGATTTGTTTAAAACATATAAGTGATACGAAAAGTTTGTTTTAGCAGGAGCTTTCAAAATACATATTCTGTAAATCGTCTTCAGCTGTTTACCTAATTTACAAGTGTAAAATCCGGATTGGAATATTATTTATGAGTCGCATAGTTGAATGTTTTAATACTTTCAACATTACTATATAACAAATAATTTGAGATCATAAATACGATATTGCCACATTGAAACGTTGAATAATTCCTTTCCTGATAAGAGCTTTTTCCTAGTCGTAATTTACAAGTCATGGAGACATTCAGAATTTGCGGACGGAAAAGTTTCTTCACAAATCAATATAACTCATCAGCTGATTAGCTTATGAATTGCGAAGCTAATTGACTAGTTAATTATGTAATTAATTAATCGACTGATTACCATCATTTGTTTCAGGAGTGCAGTGTTCAACATCCTAATAATAATCTCACTGTCAGCTATTCTCAGTAAAAACGTGAGTTTTTAGCTATTTTATAACTTATTCATAAATAAATAACTAAATAACTAAATAACTAAATAACTAAATAACTAAATAACTAAATAACTAAATAACTAAATAACTAAATAACTAAATAACTAAATAACTAAATAACTAAATAACTAAATAACTAAATAACTAAATAACTAAATAACTAAATAACTAAATAACTAAATAACTAAATAACTAAATAACTAAATAACTAAATAACTAAATAACTAAATAACTAAATAACTAAGTAACTAAATAACTGAATAACTAAATAACTAAATAACTAAGTAACTAAATAACTAAATAACTAAATAACTAAATAACTAAATAAATAAATAACTTGTTTCGTATGTTTTCCACTATGGTATTGATTAAGTTGACACTATTGGTGCGTCTTATAACTTTTTCCGTTATTTGGTTGTACTGAACTTTTAAAATAATGCGCAATCACAACTGACGTGTCAATCCTGTCGTCAATCCTGTCGTCAATCCGGTCGTGATCTGCTCTTCTCTCGAGTGTTACCCAATACTCGAGTAGTTCTACTACCCAAACAAACAGTTTTCTCTGTTTGTTTCGCTAGCTAATGATTAAAATACGGCCTTCCTCTATTTTCCTGAAGTGAGTTATTGTGATAGACTCCCCATTAATTATTGAACAAGCTCTTTAGCATAGTCTTCATATCCAACATCATGGAACACGCTCCATATCTAATATCACTAGTGAATACTAAAACTCTTCATATCCAATATCTCTAGTGACAACTAAAAGTCTTCATTATAAGTGGTGTCTACTGTCTGGCTGGTATCAGCTGTAGTTCTACTCACGGAGCACACATCCAATATCTGAGACGGTATCTATATGGAACAAGCTCCATATCCAATATCAAAAGTGAATAAGTGATGTCTAGTCAGTTGAGCTGTAGTTCTAATCACACATCTAATATCTCAGATGGTATCCGCTATCTATTCCTGTAGCTCGAGATGATATATATCCATTGTGTTACTAGGGTTACTGTTACTAGGGTTACTGATATATATCCATTGTGTTTATTATTCACGAGCCGTAGAGAGACCAATCATTTGATGAGAGTACTCTTCTCGGACATAAGATTAATTATAATAACACAGATATTCTCATTCATTTACCATACTCCCACAGATACGTATCTAGATATTATCTAGATATCTCTACAGAGTGCTGTATGTTATTCAGACATCAAGCAGATGTTAGATTTGATGTGTTAAGTATAGAGAGAGAGAGAGAGCTGTACACTTGTTGTGATAGAATGTAGGTTGGAATATGGTTCTTCCTCTCTCTTTCTCTCACTCCCTCACGCGTTACCCCTCACGCGTTACCTCTCACGCGTTACCTCTCACGCGTTATCCTGACGGATTAATAACATCGACCTCACAGTTAATAGAGATAATAGTGGTAAATAGTGCCCAACGTACATAAATACTAATAGTGTAAACGTTAAACAGAAAGATGTCAATAGTTACTGAACTTTATTATTTTCAGGTATTATTACTGGATTGGAGACCGTTATCACGTGACGCATTCTTCTACGGTATTTCTATCGTCATGTTCAGCGCATTTGCGTGGGATGGTGAGTACTGTAAAATTTATAATAATTATTAATTATTATCTATAAATAATAATTATTAGTTATGAAATTGGATATCTTATCTCATTTCTTCTTAATGATTTGTACTGCTTTTAGGTTTTATTTATTGGGGACTGGCCAGAAGAACCAGATAATGTTTACTCAAATATATTACATAATTACATTATTACATAATGACATAGGTAACTCTACAGTCTATGAAATGAAATGAAATGAGGTATTCATATCCGGCTCATATGATTAACTAACTACACAAGGAAGGTGGTTAACCATATTATAGAAATATATATTAGAAATATACATTCAAATCCTTGTTCACCTCAAATATCTGTTCTTAATCCTGTCAGTGTTAAATAGCCACAATGTGACACTGTATTAACTTTGAGCCACCTTCAACCTTGTGCACAATTTCCGGATCCTTACTCCGGAAAGAAACCCAACCCTTGGCCCAGTTCCAGAACTCTAGATCTACCATGAAACTCTTCCAGAATTGTTCTAGAGGCTTCCACTTTTAATAAAATGTTCATATTTAATACACTTACTAGTGAGTTCTTCTTACTAAATTGTTCACATCCCATGAGGATAGATTACAAACACACCTACAGGTACGTGGTAGTTGATACTTCTGGGGTTACAACTTATTCATCTGTATAGTGTATCATTAAATATAGGAAAATGAAGACCTTATAGTCTTCCGTAAGAGCTGCGATCATCTTCGGATTGCAGGTTGTATGCCTTGTTTTTTCACCACGTCGAGGTGAAAATTGTGCAGGAGACCAGCAATCAGGGGTTGAAGAAACCGGGGGGGGGGGGGGGGGGGGGGGGGGGGGGGGGGGGGGGGGGGCCATCGCCCCCATAAAATTTGGGCAAGGGGCCAAAAAGGGCCAACTTTTAAATTTAGGTTTCTAATTTTTTTTCACCATGTCGAGGTGGAAATTGTGCAGAAGACCACCAACTCCACGATGGCATCTAATGCTACATCTACTGTACGTGATTATTGCGTACTAAAACAGGGCCCAGGTGTGTCAGTGAGTGGTAATGGTATAATTTAATCCTGTCGAGCGAGAATTAAGAGTTTAATTAATCAGTTCTGGGCCCAAATTGTTAAAGATAACCAACTTATTGCATTCAGTATTCTATCAAGCTGTACAGTATGTAGCAATGTTTGCACTGCAGGTTTTGACCTCTCCCCAACTAATCAGATAAAGTGTTTTGATCACGTGTCAGATTGAAGAAGGGATACAACAGGTCACAGCTACTTTAAAATCATTACCGGGCCACTTTATCACTTTTAGACAATTCTACAATCACAAAAACGTATACTCAGAGTTCATCTACTATAATTACCAGAGATCTCAACATCTACTATAATTATCAGAGATCTCAACATCTACTATAATTATCAGAGATCTCAACATCTACTATAATTATCAGAGATCTCAACATCTACTATAATTATCAGAGATCTCAACATCTTCTATAATTATCAGAGATCTCAACATCTACTATAATTATCAGAGATCTCAACATCTACTATAATTATCAGAGATCTCAACATCTACTATAATTATCAGAGATCTCAACATCTACTATAATTATCAGAGATCTCAACATCTACTATAATTATCAGAGATCTCAACATCTACTATAATTATCAGAGATCTCAACATCTACTATAATTATCAGAGATCTCAACATCTACTATAATTATCAGAGATCTCAACATCTACTATAATTATCAGAGATCTCAACATCTTCTATAATTATCAGAGATCTCAACATCTTCTATAATTATCAGAGATCTCAACATCTACTATAATTATCAGAGATCTCAACATCTACTATAATTATCAGAGATCTCAACATCTACTATAATTATCAGAGATCTCAACATCTACTATAATTATCAGAGATCTCAACATCTTCTATAATTATCAGAGATCTCAACATCTTCTATAATTATCAGAGATCTCAACATCTACTATAATTATCAGAGATCTTAACACTTTAACATCTACTATAATTATCAGAGATCTCAACATCTGCTATAATTATCAGAGATCGCAACATCTTCTATAATTATCAGAGATCTCAACATCTACTATAATTATCAGAGATCTCAACATCTACTATAACTATCAGAGATCTCAACATCTACTATAATTATCAGAGATCTCAACATCTACTATAATTATCAGAGATCTCAACATCTTCTATAATTATCAGAGATCTCAACATCTTCTATAATTATCAGAGATCTCAACATCTACTATAATTATCAGAGATCTTAACACTTTAACATCTACTATAATTATCAGAGATCTCAACATCTGCTATAATTATCAGAGATCGCAACATCTACTATAATTATCAGAGATCTCAACATCCGATTTTAAATCGCTGCACAGTGCACTATAATTCTTTACAACCTTTTCTCAAGAATCGCGATTTAGGTTACATACAAATATTATCCTCTATTTGATTTAGCAATTCACTGTATTGGTTACATATGACAAGTGATTACTATTGCAAAGGAGCTCTGGAAACATATATTTGATAAAACGAGTTATTAATTTATTGGTCACGTGATTTATTGGTCACATGATTTATTGGTCACGTGATTTATTGGTCACGTGATTTGTTGGTCAAGTGATTAGTTGGTCACGTGATTAGTTGGTCACGTTATTAGTTGGTCACGTTATTAGTTGGTCACGTGATTAGTTGGTCACGTGATTAGTTGGTCACGTGATTTGTTGGTCACGTGATTAGTTGGTCACGTGATTTGTTGGTCACGTGATTAGTTGGTCACGTGATTTGTTGGTCACGTGATTTGTTGGTCACGTGATTAGTTGGTCACGTGATTTGTTGGTCACGTGATTAGTTGGTCACGTGATTTGTTGGTCACGTGATTTATTGGTCACGTGATTTGTTGGTCACGTGATTAGTTGGTCACGTGATTTGTTGGTCACGTGATTTGTTGGTCAGATAATCTGATAGGACATTTTGGAGTAAATGTTGAGATTGATACAAGATGGATAGATGTTCAGATTTTTTAGGAATTTTGGGTTTTACTAACTTCTTAGACTTATGTCACTGAAGATGACGCCTTGCAACATGTTTGACGATAGCCTGTAAATTGATAGTTTGATCTCAGTATATACAAAAAACCATCTAGCTTGTTTGATTCAAAGGGTGAACAAATCCCAAGATGGATAAACTTCCGATCATAACATGTTAAAGCTGGGTTTTATCACGTATTATATTATAGTATAAACCTAAAACCAAGACAACCTTTCCCTTGCCCACAGTTTCCCAGAATATATTTGTGATTGTCGGATCATTATATCTCCATACGTTTAACAGATGCAGTCAAGCTGAGCACCGCCGACCAATCAAAGTAAGGATCTTAATTCGTGACGGGTGAGATATTGAAATAAAAGCTTAACCAGGAGATTTAAAGCTTTAAAAATAGCATCTTTATCGGTAAAGACTAAAGCTGTTATATTAGCGAAACGTATCTGATAGCACTAAATATAATTAAAATCTTTAATTTGTCTAAATTGATATTCAGTCTGGAGATTACTATTGCATAATATTTAGTGTATGAAGGTAGAGGAGACAATGAACCACTTTATTTTACCGGGGTAAGCACAGGGCTCCAATACTCTATCTTACAGTGGTCATGATCTGTCCAATAGTGATAATGAGCACAGCCCCCTACGAAGAAGAAGATGGAATCATCCTTATTTCAACTGTAGGATTACCTTGTTAACCACTGTCCAGGCACGTAGCCAGGGGGGGGGGGGGGGGGGCTACGTGCCTGCCACTAGTAGTAAACCCGCGATGGGGTGGCATGTGCCTCAATAAAAATATTACAGTCATTTATTATTATATCAATTTATCATTAATTATTTCAACAATATCAATAACGTATGGTTGATTCTTCACACTTAGTAAAATGTATAAAAACAAAGTTAATCTACACTAAAGAATGAATAATCTATATTATATAAATCAACAATATTATCTCCCCATCTTCTTGTAGTCATTTTATCAAAGCGGTAGAAATCCAAGTAATTTTAATACGCGGTGCTATCTGACCCCCTAGTTAGGAATAGTATATAATAGAGGCTCTAAGTTAGAGTTCTAAAGAATATAAAATATATATATTTATAATATATACATATTTTATCAACCTAATATCCCCCAATACGCTCCCTCACTTCATTTCCTCCCAGGCGACACATCTTAAGTTAATCTGGCAGCTAATCTGGCCTTTGGGTAGTGTCACGAGACCAAAAGGTAGTGTCACGTGACTCGAGGAAGTGCCACGTGACCAGTATCATGACAAGTATGACACTTCCTCCGCTGGATATGGTCTCTGCATGCAGGATACAGTTAACCTTCTTTTAAAGCGAGGGGATATTAATGATGGCCAGTGTCTCGCCAGCTCCGCCTGGATTGTGTGTTGATTATTTTAGGAGGAGGATGCTGATTAATGAAAGTGTGGAGAGAAAAGTTGTTCTAGAAGTCAATAACAACACCAGGGTTATGAGGGGTATGCTGATTAATTACAATAAGTGTGGAGAGTATGAGGGGTATGAGGGGTATGAGGGGTATGAGGGGTATGAGGGGTATGAGGGGTATAAGGGGTATGAGGGTATTACATGGGGTAAGGGTAGGGGGGGTATGGGTATGGGGTTAACTTGAAACTAGGTCTCATTATATATTTACAGTGCAGAGAACAGAGGTCTTGAAACTAGGTTACTGTTAAAGGTTACTGAAACTAGGTCTCATATACTAGTTTCAGTGCAGAAACAGGAGTCATGAAAACTAGGTTACAGTTACTAGGGTACTTTGAAAAAGGTCTCATTATAATAGTTTCAGTGCAAGATAACAGATCTTGATAACTAGGGTTACTGTTACTAGGGTTACTTGAAACTAGGTCTCATTATACTAGTTCAGTGCAGAGAACAGAGTCT